AGCCCCTGGTTGAAGACAACTGTTCTAATACCCAAAAGGCAAGTGTACATCAGGGTTCTATCCTTTCACCATACTTGTTCAATTTGTATGCTGAGCAAATAATCCCAGAAGCTGGACTCTATGAAGAAGAATGTAGCATCAGAATTGGAGGAAGAACCATTAACAACCTGTGATATGCAAATGACACAACCCTGCTTGCTGAATGTAAAGAGGCCTTGAAGCACTTACTGGTGAAGATCAAACAATACAGTCTTCAGGATGGATTATACCTCAACATAAAGTAAACAAAAATCCTCACAACTGGACCAATAAGCAACATCATGATAAACAGAGAAAAGACTGAAATTGCCAGAGATTTCATTTTTCTTGGATCCACAGCCAACACCCATGGAAGCAGCAGTCAAGAAATCAGACATTGTATTGCACTGGGAAAATCTGTTGCAAAAGACCTCTTTAAAGTGATACAAAACAAAGATGGCACTTTGAGGACTAAGATGCGCCTGACCTAAACCATGGTATTTTCAGTCGTCTCGTATGCATGCGAAAGCTGGACAATGAATGAGGAAGACCAAAGAAGAATTGATGTGTTTCAATTATTATTTCACTTGAGACTGAATATCCTATGGACCACCAGAAGAATGAACAAATCTGTCTTGGAAGAAGAACAGCCAGAATGCTCCTTAGAAGGGAGGATGGTGACCCTTCATCTCACATGTTGTTGTTGTTGTTGTTGTGTGCCGTCGAGTCGGCCCCGACTCATAGCGACCCCTCCTTGGGTTTCCGAGGCAGTATCACTACGGAAGTAGGATTGCCCAACCTTCCTTCCGAGGAGTGGCTGGTGGGTTTGAACCGCCAGCTGTCTGGTTACCAACATGTTATCAGGAGAGACCAGTCCTTGGAGAAGGACATCATGCTTGGTAAGGTAGAGGGTCAGCGATAAAGAGAAGATACTTAACAAGATGGACTGACACCGTGGTTGCAACAATGGGCTCAAACAGGGCCAACAATGATGAGGATGGCACAGCTCTGGGCAGTTTTTCATTCTGTTGTACACGGGGTCGCTATGAATTGGAACCAACTTGACAGCACCTAAAAACATTCTAGCCTTACACTCCTGTTTAAAGCTTTCAAAGATATTTTCCTTGCCAAGTATCTCACACTTCAAGTGGGAAAGATGCTAAAGGGGTTAAGAATGTTTCAAGTGAAATAATGCCCAAATATGGCAGGCACTTAATCTCTGGTTATATGAATGACAGACATGGTGGAAAAAGTGTTCTTTGCAATCTTGCCACCATAAAAACATTCCCCAAGAAACATTTTGTCAAAGGTAGTTTCAGGAGGTGAGAACCAGACTGGATCCTTAGAGAACAGAGCGCCAGGCAAGGCCAAGGGAAGCGCAGCGGTTGCCTGGGCAAGTGAAGACCAGACGGGACCTGCTGGATGTGTCTCTTCATCCCCAAACACCTCCAAGGCCAGGAACCTGACAAAGCACCAAAATAGGGATGGAGGTGTGGACTCAGGAGCATAAATTTTAACTCAGGGGCGCTCACAAGACCGGGGGACAGAGGAGATAACCCCTTTGAAGCCTGTGTTCTCAGGCACAAGCGCGGCCCACTCAGGCAGGACCTAGGTCCAGAGTCGCCCGCTCCCTTCCTGCTCTCGCACAATGCAGTGACAAAAAGAGCAAATCCAGCCTCCGCGAAGGCCAGGGAGAAAAGCTGCACTGGCCCTACCTTAGTACTCACCTTTTCCCACGTAGTGCAGCCAGCACCTTTCCCCGCCGTACCCAGGCGTAGCGTCCCAAGCCTCCGAAACTCCCGCCAGCGCGCTGCATCCTGGGAGGCGCGTACCGAAGGCGCGGTAGCGCGCAGAGAAAGCGGAACCAGCCAAGCCTTCCAGGAGACGGTTGCTAGGGTGGCTGAGGAGGCGGGGCCTCCAGGGAGTGTTGTGAAACCTTAGGAACGGCCAAGCTCTCCGGGGCGGAGCTCGTCACAGAAAGCGCCGGTGGCCTGGTCAATGGCGGGGGCGGGGCTGCATGTGCGAGCACGTCGAGGGGCGGGACTCAAATAAGCAGCGAATGAGGCGCCAGGCTGACAGTCTCGTCCCGCCCCACACCCAGACTGCCTCATCGGATTGGCCAGGGTAGGGGCTACTCTGCTCTCCTTCCGTTGTCACGCGACCACCACCTCCTCCCTCTCTCCTCTGTCTATCCCACCGCTCGCCTGGCCGGTGATGAGAGTCTCGGGCGGCGGCCACTGACACCCGTAAACGCTATCGTAACTACGATCATGGCCGAGGTAAGGAACTGGCCGCACGACTGCTGTGTCCCTCGGCCTTGGAGGCCGCTCTGATGCCCAGAGGCCGGTTCCCCGGGGACAGGTGGGCTGGACTGGGCTGGGGGGAAGCGGGATAGTGTGTAGTATCTTAGGGTCCTGTCCTGTCTCCCCTCCAGAGTCAGGCCCAGATGAAAGCCAGGCTTATCGCAGAGACCCGACGGAGGTTCGAAGCTGAGTATTTGACAGGTGAGTACCGCGTTCTCAAGGTTGAGGCGGGTGTGCAGTGAGCTTTCCCAACTTTGCTGAGGTGCTTGTGGGTGTCTCTGGGCGGCATTAGGGACCCTTTCGACCCTCACAGGGCCGGTGCCCTGTAGGTTTCCGAGGTTTTTGCCTCTGTAACATGCCGTGCACGCTGCTCCAATTGGACAGGTGGTGGATTCATTGCTTCCTTTAAAGGGTTAATGTAAGTTGGAAATCAGCGAGTTTCTGGCGTCTCCTCTTGATTACTGAACTTGCAGAACACTTGTTAGGCCCAGGGCACAGGTCAGCTGTCCAGCCCATGGTTCCTCTGCTGGCCTTGCACCAGCAGCAGTCAAGAAAATGAACCTAGGACCTGCCATAATACTATTGACATGGACTTCATTGAGGATGCAAATTCCTTGGATGTTTTACCTAATTCCACTTCACACAACCCAGTGTGCTACCCACAGGGTAGGTAGACCCTGCAATGTTGAAATAAGCTCTTATCTTTTCATCTCACTCTGTACCTAGCAAGGCACCTGTGAGTCCAGAATTGATTTATTGGTTGAACATTCTGTGTCCATATGTCACAGATATTTCTGTTGTTAGGTACTTATGTGACAATTTAATATTTGTGCAGTGACTTTAAAAAGCATCCAGGATAATTCTCCGTAAATACGGAA